AAATAGTATAGAATGTATTTTTACCAGGGACCGTAACAGTGTTAACATTAATAAAATAACTTTTATCATTCGTAAGGAGTGGTGCACGTAAAGAGTTTCTTTTGGTTTTTGTTTTTGTATTCTTTTTTGTACAAAAACAAAAAAAATCTGAACTAACTCTTTAGCTGCACCAACTATTCAATACATTTTGTATGAAATTTCAAAAACAACTAACTTACATGCAAAACGCGTTTTATATTTTCGTTTTAAAAAATATCAGGCACATCACACCATGTGAGTTATATTTTGTTTTCAAAAATAAAAATTATTTTTGATTTTTATACTTTTAAAGCAAAAATAACAGTTATTTGTGTGTTTTAAAATAAAAAGTGGAGAGTAAGAATTATTTGTGCGCGGAAAAATAAAAGGCACATGTTAATAATTATTTTTTAAAAATATAATGTAAAGCAAATTTAATTATTATTGTTTGAGTTTTATTTTAAAATGCTCATTTTACATATGCATATTATTAAGGATGAAAGTTATTACAATGATAACTAAATACTCAAATAAGAGTTTAGCTAACTTTTTGTAGCTGCTGTTTTTCTTCAAAATTTTTGAAATAATTGTTTTTTGCGGTTGCTGATATTTACATATAAAGTTAAAAAAACTGAAGCTTAAGGTGTAAACTGCATAGTAGTTTTTCACAAAACTTTATTAGTATGGCTATAAGTGCAATAATAAAATAACAAACTGTAAGCACAATTTAAGCACATAAGCAAAATTGTGTACTATAATGTTTATGCACACAGTCCCTTGCTATTATATCCACAGAAATAAACATGTATTCTTAGGGGGCGTAGAAGTAATGACTGTACTGCACTTCACCACCTTGTAATTACTTCTCTCCATTCAAGGGGCAGTATTAGCACTCATTATATATAATCAATTCTATGCGCCACAAAAAGAGCAACTTCTGTGCTTGCAGAGGAAGTAACTGAAGTTGGTGCGTCAGTTTATTTTAAAGAAAATGGAATATGTAGAGAGGGCGGTTGTTTAACTCACAATAAAAATATAATTTAATAACATTAATTTTTCGCTAGTTAAAGTATTACATATATGTAAAACATGTATTTGTTTATTTATTTGAAAATGTGAAATTCATAAAGCGCCGGCTTCACAACTCCTACAAAGTCATGCTATATTTTTAATTTTATCATCGATGGAGTCTTCCACGTGCGGTGCGGACTTATGAGTATTGATTCATACCATTCGCAGCTGTAAATTTGCGCTGTCAATATTTGTATTTTTGTTGTGACTTTACTTATTTTCCTTGAGATGTTTGTGTTATTTATTTTGCTTACACTGTTTTTTTTTTCTTGAAAGACCCTGCACTTGCACTTGAAAATCAGTGCCAACCTTGCAAAAGTGTATATTGCATTTGCCAGCCTATATCGTCAAAACATTTATTTTTTTAAGGTATTATTTTTTGTTTATTTATTTTTGTTTTTTATTTAAATTTCTTTACTTTTTGCTGAAGTTAACAACAAAATGCTTACTAAAATTCAACACAAAGAAAGTTTTAAATTGGCTTCTTGTTAGTATAATTAATGTGCTGCAGTATGTTGTAATGAAGTTTGTGAATGGTAATTAAAATTCAGTTCAAATATACCTGTAATGTCCCAAATTGTATTTTAATCTCATTACGCTTTTATTGTATCTTAATGAAAACGTAAGATGACTAATAAAACAATAACTTCTAGGCAATGTTCGATTTTAGTCAGTAACTTACAGATAGACTACTTAAAGAGTGATACATTTTTTAAAGAATGATTTTTATTTGCTCTCAAACTAAGATTCAGTTTCCGAAATCACTTTTTTTATTGAAACTTAATTTTATTTATTTATTAATTTATTTGTGAGTTAAGACTAAAATTAATTTTAAAGTTAACTAAGAATAAGGAACTAGACTACTAGTTCTTCGCTCTGTGCTTATATTCATGTTAAAAATTATATCTAAATTTTATTTAATATGTCTTTATGTTGGGTAAATGTAGCTGGTATCGTTGGTTAGGTTGTTTTAGCAGTTTATGATATGGTTGGTAAGAATATGTCCACATTTGTGGCATGATGATTGTATGTCCATTGTGGACATGTGGATGTGGATTTAAGTTAGGTTGGAATGTCCTGGTCTTAATCTTGTTATAATGCGCTGCTGACAACGTGATAAGATTGGTGAAGGAATATGTTTTTGTGTTGGTTAATTGTTTTATAGTAGTTAAAGTGGTGTGTCCAACTTGCCAAATTCTTCTTGTGAAAGTAGAATAGAGTTGCTTTTCTTATATCCTTTTTTGTGTAGTTATAGATACAAAATGCGAGAGATTTGCAAATTTGTCCGCAAATTTATGAAATTAAGTTTATTTCACTGGAGGAATTATAGCAGTCAATTTGTGACATAATACATTATTGTAGAAGAAAAATATTTTTTCTATCTTTATAAATTCCAAGGCATCTATAACACCTACTCACTAATGAAATTCAAATCCCTCTTCAATATTTTTGGGAATCAATTGGAAATTAACATTAACAAAGATTTCTAACGAATGGTTAGACGAATATTGGTGCTGCCAATACAAACAACCAGTAAGCGATAACAAATGTGTGTTATCAAAACGATGCGAAAACGGTATTTGATTTTATGGATGAAGTCTTCACTTAATCCAGCCAACTAAATACCAATCAACGACTACTGATTTGACTCTTGAATGTAATGATGGATCCATATTTCATTCATTAACGCATATAATCTCAAAAGTTCTTTTTATTGTACTAGGTTTGTACAGTATTTTTAAGAAACCACGTTTAAAGTGTACGCTGTTTGTACATTCAAATCAAAAAGCGAATGATTTTCAAATCATTTGTGAACACACACATACCATTTGAACAAAAAAGAACGAGAAGTTAAAAAAACGCAAAATTTTAATTTTTAATCATTTTCTTTGTTATCGCCTTCAAAGTACTCTCCTCCTGTGGTAATACATGCATGGCAACGCTTGATCCAAGTTTCCATACAAGTTTTATAGGCCGCCGAAGGTATGGCCTTTAGTACACGCAGCGAATTCTCTTTTATGGCCTCTATGGTCTCAAAACGCGTTCCTCGCAATGTCAATTTGAGTTGGGAGAAGAGGAAAAAGTCACACGGGTCATATCTGGAGATTACGGTACTTGATTGATGATATTCGTGGAGTTTTTGGCCAACAACTGCGACACAACCAACGCTGTGTGAGCCTGTGCGTTATCGTGGTGTAAAATAATACTCCTTATTGACCGTTTGACCATTTAACCGTCCGGAAGGAATTCATAGTGCACCACACCACGAATATCGAAGAAAACAGTCAGCATAACCTTGATTTTGGACCGAATTTGGCGTTCTCTTTTCGGTTTCGGCTCACCTTCGAAGCACAATTCGGTCGATTGTTGTTTGGTGGGCATGTAAAATTCATAGACCCATGTCTCATCACCAGTTATGATGCGTTCGATGACTGTGAGATGTGGGGACTATCTGCGTTGGAAACCATTTCTTTGGCCAAATCACAACGACGCTTTATTTGAATGAAATTCAGTTAAAAAGCGCCACACGAAAATTTTTCGAGTTATTTGTATAGACGCCAAACAAAAACTAATCGTGCGATATGCGTTAAACTTTGACAGAATGTGTATAATAGTGTTGCCAGTGTAAAAATAAAAAAATTTACCGATTGGATAAGCGCGGAAATTCAAAAAAAGAACGAATAAGTTCTTTTTTGATCACAAGGTATAAGTTCAAAAACAATTTGTAAACTAAATGAATTTGCTAGTTTAACATATTATTTTTCCTTCCTATTATATTACAGCGCACGCTCGAAAACATAAACTAATTAAAAGCAATGGAGTTCCATTATAAAATTGTTCAAGTTTACAAGTGTCAAATAAGATTTAAGAAAAACATATTTAGACATTTAAATTTACATTTTACTGTTTCTTTTTTTTGTATACATATTAATTTGTACACAATAATAATTGAAACACATCTTTGTCCTTTAGACGTCTATAAGTATATTCATATCATTTCGATACCCCTCCTGCATGACTAACCTACTGTAAGTTTTGGAATTTTTTTTTTTGAAAATTACAGAAGTTTTCAATATTCTGATTCGATCTAAACAAAATATTTGTGAAATGTAAGTTTAAATAATATAAAATACTACTATCGTAAAAGCATAATAATAGATTCACATAGATTTACATAAATTTTTTTAATAGTAAAATTATATTAAATTGATTTTTAACGTTCGTTTTGACGGAAGAAACAAAATTCTTAACATAAACTATTGTTTTCAATTTAGCAATGTTTTGGACAGTAATTAATTACAACAATAAAATTTTATAATTTTTTAGTTATAATTAGTTGATTTTTTGGCTGATCACACAGCGTTTTCGAGAATTGCCAAATACCCATCTATTTCTTTTATTTAATTATTCGCAAATATTTTTTTGCGACTGCTATGATTTATATAGCTTGAAATATACTTTGTATATACTTACATATAACTCTATTGTCAGTATCTCTGTGTGAAAATAAAAATTTAATTACATACATTAAAAATAAATATTTGTATTAGAAGATATATTTATATATAAAAATATATAATGTATCTTTAAATTAGAAAATTCCAAGACTCCAATTTATTTACATTGTTAACGATTGAGTGAGTTCCAAACTATTATAACCTTCCTCTTCTAGACAGATATATCAACGCTGTATTCCCGAATATACACACCAAATTAGTACAACCTTCCTATATGGGTTTTTACAATTTTGTTTTGCATTGGATCCAGGTTGTTATAAATTTAAAATACATCAATCAATCAGTTAAGATAAACACATGTTAATCCACTGACATGCATTATCGTTTAACATGCAAACTTCAATTCTCAGCTCTGCGCATTATCTGAAATTGAACTTGTATTGAAATCTTCTGTTTACGTTTTTTAAAAAATGCAATTGTTAATGCATATTAATTATTACAAACTATAACTACGATAGGATAAATTCTAGAGTTACTCGATTTTCATTTAACTCAGCTCCTATATAACATTAGTTTTTATAGGTTTACTTCTGGATTTTATCACTAAAGTTGCACTTAGATGTGTTTCCCTGTTCAATTTTTTGTTAACTCAGTCCAGTTATGTTTTCATTTATATCTTTGGATCTGCATATCAACATACGTAGTGGCATTAGTCTTAAGTATATATTCGAAACGTTGCAGAATACATACATTCACACATATAGTTTTTAGGATTAGAATTCATTTGTTAACTTTATATTAAAAAAGTTATGACCAAATATTCAGACCTTTCTTGTAGTAGCAGAATTACACGATAAAGGTGGTCTTTCCAGTTAAGATGTTCTTCTAGTGTTAAGTGACAACGTATCTAAATTTGTAGCTCATGTTTAGCGTTCAATAATTCCATTAATTTTCACAAATCGTGACTCTATGTTATTTGGTGTTGTTAAGATTGTAAAGTATTACGCTAACAGGAACAAAAATTGAGTATCTATTGTACTATAAACGAGATTAATGAACATTCACTAAGTTTTATTCTAAATAACAATCAAATTAAATTATCTTATTTACCTTTTTGTATGCTGCATATGTTGGTAAAGTCCAATGGAGAAAAAGATTATTTGGCGCGGCCTCGGAAAATCACATAAATAATTTTTTACATATCTTAATAAATACACTAGTAGATAAGTGATTTTTACCCATTAAATTTGTGGCATTTCATTAAATTCTTATAAAATTTCTCCATTGAATGCAGCGGTCCGCTGACTCGGGTGAACAATATTAGTTAGTGGGGTTCTACTTGTCCAATGCCGTATATTTCTAAAAAAAGGTCATTCTTTCTTTGCTTATAACGACTCTGAACAAGTATATCTAACTTCCTTTGAAATTTTAATTGTTTCACTCGATGCATTCGACTATACTCCTCTTTAAAGCCTAGAGCCACAAATGTTTGACTTCGACCTATATTTGCAGACGGAGCCACTTCAAATGCGGAAAGTGGAATACCGATTTGCTGACGCAATTGGAAATGACATCTATAGATGTCATTTTCAAATCTTAGTTGGAATTGTGCGTGTGTATTAGGGAAAACAATGTTGGCATACCTGTCTAGAAGCGGGAGGTTATAATAATTTGGGGTACGATGAATCATAAAATTTGATCCATCGGCATCTCCACCTCCGTTGCCAAACTACGAGTATAAATTTAATGTTTAATGTAAGTTATTTACATATTTATAGCAAAAAAGCTTACCCTTCGTAAATCCATTGTTTTTTAAGAGTTTATCTAACCTTCATTAAATTTGAGTCAATAATTTGCCAAAAACTGTTTGAATATGAATAATTTTAAATTTTCCCAAATTATTTTCAACTATTCAGATAACATGAAATTTTAAAATTTCCAGATTTTCTTGTAATTTCTTTATTTCATTGATAAGCATTGCGGTTATTTTTTTTTTTTAATATTTACCTTTAGTAATATTAATTTTTTTTTAAATATTAAGTTTTTTCATGACATACTGTGACGTGAACTATTATTGAAACTAATTTTCGTGGTAGCAGTTTTAAAAACTTTTACGGTAAATCAAATTTAAAACAGTTTTAAACCTCAAAACTAGTTGCAGTTAAAAGAAATGTCGCAACTATAAGGTGGATTGTTTATTTATAAATATTATTAAAATTCGTTGTTGTTGTATTTTTATATTGAATTTTTTATAAGAACTATATGGAAATGTCTATAATATAATGCTTTAGAAATTACTTTTTATTTTAATCATGATTATGTTATGCGACGATATAGCAATTGACTGTGGTTTTGGAGATGAGGTACAAATCGTTTTATCAAATAATGTGGTAATGATTAAATCTTTGTGCATTTGATTCTTTGAAGAGAAACTATAATTGATCTAGAACAGTGATCATAAAAATGCTACCAGGAAAAATAAAAGAAAATAAACCGAATCGGTTTACAATTCTAAGTAAATGGCTATAATTTACTAAAAACAGTTTAGTTTCATGTAGATCCTTTTTTTAGCAGCAAATAAAGATATATCTGTTTTTAAATATGAATTGTAATTACATTACAATTAGCAACCGCTATATCTGTGATTCAATGCAAATAATTTGTATTCTTGCATTTCTAATGCATTTGTTTACCAAAAATAAAATATAAAGTTTTATTTTTTTTTGGATCGAATCTGAAGAAAAAATCTTTTAAAGATACAAATAGCCCATAACATTTCCATGCCCGATTCATACACGACTAATTCAGTCATTCATACCTACGGACTAGGACTAAAAAGTCCTCACATACTCAGCTCAAAATCTTGGAGATCCCTTGGAGTTCTTCTTGGAGAAGAACTGCTGGCTTTTCCTATTAATGTCTCTAAATTTTGTCTTGTATCTACTAATCTTATACGGTTTGTAATTATATTGTCCGGACTCTCAATTTTATCTTGACAAAACTGGTAGTGCGGGCTGCTTGCCAGTCTGAACCGGTATAAGTACTCACGTAAGCATCCATATGTCGTAAAAAACTGTATTTGCTGAAATCCCAAGTCTCCAGTTCCTCGATTAATTAAAACTTTTATATTTAGAATTAGCGAGTACGTCCATTTTGATTTTAGGGGAATGACCCCACCAATGTCGCCATTCATTAAGATATTTGTCTTTTATTTTTAGATAAGAATATGACAGAGATTGCGCAGTTTAAATAATTTCTAACGCCCAGCCAATACTCCCGCAGCATCGTTCGATACTCTACGGGTAAGACGGCAGATGCGTGTGTTCGACAGTCTTGTGCATTTGTCATTACGTGTGAATACGACTTTATGGTTGTAGCATGCGCACACACAGGGGCAGCATATAGCATCACCGACTAGGAAACTGATTCTATAAAAACTCTAGCAGTGTACTTGGGGCCTCTTATGTTCAGCATTAAACAGGATAATGTATTAAAGTACTTTTTTCTTTTTTTTGGTATCGAACCTGGGGGAAAAATCTTCCAAAGATACAATTGGCCCGTACCATTTGCATGCCCGATTCATGCATAACCCAATTGAGTTATACATGCCTACGGACTAAAAAGTCCCCTACATTCTCAGCTCACATTCCTGTAAATCCCTGCAGTACGACCAATTAAAGTATTCCTTCACAGGGTAGGTTAGCGTGCTTTCACTCCGATTGTGTACTAAGTATTTCGTCCGCTCTAACAGTGTTTATTGTTCTAGATATTATGCTCTTGTAGAGGCTCCATTCTTCAATGCTTGCCAACATCTGCATTACTACAGTAGGAGGGCTGGCTTCCCCAATTATAGTCTCCAGATTTTGTCTAGTATCAGCGAATCTTACACAGTCTTTAATTATATGGTCGAGGCTCTCCATTTTATATGGACAAAACTGGCAGTACGGATTACTTGCAAGCCTGAACCGGTATAAATATTCACGGAAGCAGCCATGCTCCGTAAGAAACTGCGTTAATTGAAAACCCAGTTCTCCAGATCCTCGGTTAATCCAAACTTTTATATTTGGAATTAAGGAATGCGTCCATCTTGATTTTTGGGAATGGTCCCACCTATGTTGCCATTCATTAAGATATTTGTCTCTTATTTCTAGATAAGTATGTGGCAGAGATTGCTGAGTTTCATTCATTCGTAGACGAGAACGCAGGAAGAAGCTGTCTCTGGCCAAGAGCGCTTCATGGTCTATTGGCATGCGTCCTGCCAATACTCCCGCAGCATCATCCGCTACTGTACGGTAAGCATGGCAGATGCGTAGGTTTGCTAATCTATGTGCGCTTTTCATTACGCTTGAATACGGCTTTATGGTTGTAGCATGCGCCCACACAAGCATCACCGACTTGGAAACGGATGCTAAAAGAATTATAGCTGTGTCCTTGCTGTGCCTCCTATGTTTAGCATTAACCGGGCCAATATGTTGCAAAAACGTGGGGCTTTGTCTCCCGATTGCTTTCGGTGAGTTTTGAAATTCAACCTACTATCAAGGGTAACACCAAGATATGTAAGTTGGGGGCTAGATTGTATATATACGCCACCCACTTTAATTGAGAGTTGTTCAATCCTTTTCCTACTGCTGATTAACAGCACCTCAGTTTTATGCTCAGCAAGCTCTAATCCGCTGTTTTGCAACCACGATTTAGCTGCTGCAATAGTATCCGTCCGACTTTTCAATTCGAAGGATACCATCGTACATGATATTCCAAAGAATTGGCCCTAGAACTGATCCCTGGGTAACCCCTCCCGTTATCTTATATGTTTTTGGTCCAGAGTCTGTATCATATAAGAGTATTCTGTCTTTAAAATATGATGTAATTATTTTTAAAAGATATACTGGGACTTTTATTTTCAACAGTGCATTTAAGATGCTACTCCATTCAGCAGCGTTGAAAGCATTTTTAACATCTAAGGTCACCACCGCGCAGTATTTTTTGGTACCACCTAGCCACCTTAAGCCCTTAGTAGCTTCCTTTGCAATGTTGCACACATGTAATATAGCATCAACAGTACAACGTTTACGTCTAAAGCCAAATTGGTTATTTGACAGACCATCCATCACTTTATGTAGTGCAAACACGTGAGGCTTAATCGTTCGATTGCTCGATCTAGGGTGACACCGAAATATGTAAGTTGGGGGATAGATTATACGTCTACACCTCCCACTTTAATGGAGAACCTTTCAATATTTTTCCTAATGCTGATTAACAGCATTTCTGTTTAATGATGTATTGTGTTTTTCATTGTATTTGCCATATTTGCAGTGTTCTGAAAATTATATGCACACACATTTGCTACACTTGTTTGACGCTTGTGCTTATGTGCAGCACTTTAATTCACATATGTAGTAACCTGATAGTTTAATATCCGATTCTATTGTAAACAAAACCTAAATAAAAAATGTGTTCACATTTAGTAGCACGATTATCCATTATTCTACAACGATATTTAGACTGAACCATGGCACCTATCCATGTTACGATGAGTAGTCACAAAAGATAGTGCAGCGAAAGCCCATAAAAGTCAACTGAAATCATATCAAGGTAAATTCAAATGGACAATTAGGACTAACATTGATCTTGTATTCAACAAACTTTTAATGAAAGTAGCCCACATTTTTTTCATACCAAAATCAGGTAAATCATTAGAGTTAGTTACACATCTTAAAGTTCTATAAGTTTACTTCCACTGCTCTTCAAAGTCTTCGAAAAAATGCTTTTAAAGAGTCTTAAAAATATCATTCAAAGGCGCTCACTAATTTCTGTTCACCAAATCGGTTTTCGGAACCGTCATTTAACCGATAAACAAATAAATCGAGTTTATCAATATGCAAAAGATGATCTGGAAAGAAAAAATTACTGCACTGCAGTATTCATCGATATAACGCAAGCATTTGACAAGATATGGTACACCGAACTGCTCTAAAAAATGAAATTTCATCTACCACACAGCTTCTGTTCGTTACTAAACTCTTATGTAAATAACCACATTTAGTCTTCACCATGATTACTACCCACCAATCACACTAAATAATAACGTGCTACCACGATCCGATCCCACGAAGTATTTGGGAGTTCATATTGATTGACGTTTCACCTGGAAACATCATATATTAGGTGTACCGGTATGAAATAAGCGTGTTTTGGTGAAAATAAAACACTAATTATTAATAGGAAAGTAAAAAACATTTTATTCAAAGTATTGGTCATTGCTTTCTACACATTTTGACCACCTTTCTGGCAATTTGTGGATACCACGCCAAAAAAATTGTTCGTCTTTTAAAGCAAACCAACCAGACATCCAATTTTCGACCTCCTCGTAGGAATCAAAGTGCTTTTCAGCCAATGCGTGTCCCATCGATGAAAACAAATGGTAGTCGGAAGGAGCCAAGTCTGATGAATACGGCGGGTGGGATAGCAGCTCCCAGCTAAGTGTTTTGATTGCATCCTGAATCCATTTTGCTTTGTGTGCAGGTGCATTGTCATGGAGCAGAATTACCTTGCCGCGTCTTCTGGCCCATTCTGGTCGTTTCTCGATCAATGCATAGTTCAAATTTATCATTTGTTGTTCATAGCGACCAGCATTGACGGTTTCACCAGGTTTTAGGAGCTCGTGGTACACCACACCAAACACACAGCATTGTCTTCTTGCCGAATCGATCTGGTTTTGCAGTCGATGTTGATGGTTGTCCCGGATTAACCCATGATTTTTTCCGTTTAGGATTCTTAAAATAAATCCATTTTTTATCGCCAGTAACAATCCGATGCAAAACCGATTTTCTTTCGTGTATTTGAAGCAAAATTTCACAAGTGTTTTTTCGGTTTTCCATCTGTCTTTCATTCAATTCA